GCATATATATGACAAGGTCACTAGCAGCAGATCCATATAATTTCCGGAGAGTATCAATTTACAAGTTACAGGTGTTGTAGTGACACTACTTTTTTGGTCACTTTGAATGGGTTTCGCCCAGTCAGCTGACTACCGATTTGACTCTGAACTCTGGAGTGCGGTGATCGTCACTTCTTCCATCGTCACTTATTTTATTGCGCTTAAAACTCCGCTCCGAGTCATCGAACACATTTTTATCGAATGTGAGCAAACGCGGCAACCACTCTGAGTAGAGCCTTCGCATGGATAAATGTAAATACACTGCCTCCTGATGTCAGCTATCTTAGGCAACTTCACTTTTTGTCCTACCAAAATGCTTTTCTGCACTTCTCTCGAGCAACTGACGCATTCATGCGACCACAGCGTTCAGCATCATCGGTGTCCGTACGACTTTGTTCAAAATGACAAGACAAGACAAGACTCGCCTGCAATATCATTCCAGGCAATGCTGATTGTGTGAATGGATCTTTTCTCACCAAATGTATTTTCATGCAATGTGTTTAATCCGTACACGTGAAACTCAGATTTTTTTCCATCGCTTGGAAAGTAATCGGCGTAATTAGTGTAACGAAAGTAACTATAACTTGTAAATTAATTGTCAGAATGTCAGATATATTCGCACATATCGTTCCAAATGTCAACAGTGATGCAATGTGTATATGTGTGACGGACAAGAAACTTAATGAGTGCTGTGTTACTATTAAGATTTCACACACATCCAAATAACTTCATATACAAATAATTCTTAATATGCCTGCAGCAGTCATTTTAATTCACGTAATTCACGTAATTCCGACGCATCACTCCGTTCGATGAGTGGAGTGAAGTCGTTGCACATTTCCGAAATGTATACAATTTTAAAATTTATACATTTTCCTCGTCTACGATTTATCTTCAATTGTTTGTATATTTACAAATCTTTTCGATCTCTTTCTGATTTATTTATTCATTCCTTTACTATTTTACTATACTCTAGGTCACATGTGAGGCAGTGTGCACCGTCAAGTATTTAAAATAGACCCAATCAACTTTCACTATACACAAACAATTTGCAATCATTTTCTGATTCAAGTACAACTTGTTTGTGTGTGTGTGTATTATGACTCAGTGATGAATCATTAGGAAAATGCGGCAGATTGCATCATCCATCCACCCTTTGGACGCATTATTTTCAAAAAAAAAAAAAAAAAATGCATTAAAATGATTGCAATTTTGAAAATTTCTCGACAAGAATCGCTAAGTGATAGAGCTTGGAATTATGAACTGAGGTCGAAGAATCTGAACAGGTTAGGATGCGATAATTGTTTGTTCCGCTCTCATATAAGCCTTCGTGCGAAATATAAGCTTTTGTATTGTAAAAGATCGTAGCAGTGATTCGATATAGAAATTGATTATAAAAGATTTAGACGATGTAAGTCCCACGACTATGTTGGATCCCATCCCGTATGCGGCCTTCCGTGAAAAATAAATCTTTACATTAAAAGAATTATAATTTTTAGTATTTTACTACGCAACTGAAGAGTTGCGCTACAAGAGATGCTACAGGATGTAGGGACTTGATAGACCCCTTTGCTTGAATGTAATGGTTTTTCTTGTTTTTCTCCTTAACATTTCTTGTATACTGTATGCTCTATGTATATTGCAACGTGAACGTCTCTTTCGTAATTTTATATATTTTTATTCATCTTATTTTTAGGATTAAGTTTGTACCGTCAAGCTTCTTATGAAGTACTGCTGGCGGAAAAAGTCCAAATTTGTTTTTTACATATTCCCTCCGAAGTAAGAACCGTTTAAAAGCATGTGGTAGACCATGGAAGTGCTTTAGCAATTTCTCTATTTACGTTGTGTGCGAAAGAGATGCTTGAGGTTATCTCCTTCCTTTTCCCTATCAAAAGTTAGTTGATCTTTAGCTCTGAACGAAATATGATATGCAAACTGAACTGCAACTCATGCGCAATTAATTTGTAGCCACATTTCTGATGCGCCATCGCATTTAGGATAGAACAATAATGGGAAAGAGTTAAAACAATATCATGTACTTTGATTACGTTCCGTCATATAAACGAAGGACTGATTATCTGCATTAAAATGAAATAATATGTCAAGAATATGCATATCTTAGACTTGACGTCTTGGATATAGATGAACGATATTATACTTTTAATCTAACCATTTTTTTTAAGTATTATCAACTATTTATCTTAAAGTCATTTAATATATGTTAAACAACGTTGTGGATGTCAGGTTAACCTGTCATCAAAAGCGAAAATTCGTAACGAACGAGCGAACGAGGAAACTCAACACTCAACACAAGTGTCAAAAGAGATATCAGACAACCGTATGCATAATTGTGAGATGTTAAAACAACCAACGACTACAACAACAATAAAAAAAAAAAAAAAAAAATAATAATAATAATAATAATGATAATAATAATAAGAAGCAACAGAAGAATATAACACTTGCGAGGCTTAATAATGAAAAACAAAATTGTTATAAACAATATGTTTGCATAGTTGAACGTAGATAGATAACTGACTTAGCCAGCCACCCCTACATATAAGTACGTGTAAGTGTAGAAAAATTTTAATTATTCAAACACTTTGAAGTTGCTTGCATTATGCTTCCGGCGGATACAAGCACCTTATAGGAAGGATATAGTTATGCGCATAAGCGTGACGTGCAGACAGATAAACAGATAAAGAAAGAATTCAATCAACAAAGGCATTACGGTGAAAAAAAGATTGCTTAAGCAAATTATGATTTTCTAATTATATAAAATATAATCGCACACATAGCAATAAGCACACCCACACATAACGAATTACAGTTAAGGATAATTAAGCGTAGGCAAAAAGCCACAAAAACCTATACAAAGATTTTTTTTTTCAAGTATGCGTGTATATTGCCACATATTTGCGTTTGGGTGAATATGCGTGTTTTTGTATTTATGTGGGTATGGATGATTTTAATTCGATTAGACAAAAACAATTAACGTATTAACGCCTCTTTAGTTATAATGACTTTATAAATTGCCTTTTATATGAGCGTACACACACACACACACACACACACACACATATATATATATATCTATAGTTGTATGGATGTATGTATATACATGCGTCTGACTGTGTTTATGTTTGCGTAAATAACTGTTTAAGGATTTGTTTGTGTATGTGCATTGAAATTGTTCATTATATGTATGCTTGCGTGCGTCTGCTGCTAGTGTATGTGTGTCTACGCGTCTATGCATATGGATATGAATATGTGTGAATAAATTGCAAACAAATTTTGCGAAATTTTCCAGTGAATTTACGCCACGTTAAGTCTTTTGTTTTTCATTTCTCGCCGCACAACAAAAACATAATTCAAACATCTATAGCTTAACTACGAACTACTAGTGGCATCACACTGATTCCATTCCGTATATGTGTGGGGCATGTGTGTGATTTTAATAATTGTACGTTTTTAGTATTTTACTGTCTATATGCGCCTTTATTTTAATCACACATTCTCACCAAAAAGCAGTTACGCTCCATATGTTCGCTAATGAGTGAACAAATTAAGTCGCTGTTAATAGTTCTATGTGATGATACGGAACGAAAGAGCAAAAGAACTATAAAATTCTTTAAAATTAAAAAAAAAAAAAAAAAAAAAAAAAAAATATAAATATATTTATATTTATAAATATATAAATATTTTTTTTTTTTATTTTTTTTTTTCGTTTATTTAATGCAATTTCACCTTAACCTGTGATTATATTCATCACAGATCTTTGAATTACGCTAATCACTCTTTAATATAATCCTGTATTAATATAACGGAGACACTAACACATATATGTGCCCTTAAATAGCTACGACAATCTCTGCATTTGTATTCGTTTTTTTTTTTTTTTTTGCTTACCTTGGAAGAGCGTTAGTTGCTTTATATCGGTCATCTTATTGCAACAGGATCTACTAAATTCATCTTCAATCAGTTAAGTCTACGTTCTACGGATTCTGAACAAAATTTGAGCGCAAACGAAAATAGCAGAACTTTTCTTCTTAAAAATTCTGAGGTATTTGTTAATGTTACACGATACAAGTAACTCATATAATTCCTATAACACTAAGTTAAGAAGATTATATACGTCTTAGGACGAATGCTACGAAAACCTTAAAAACACTTTGTTTCAAGCAGTTTTAGTGATTAGGTATACTTTGATAGATAAATTGAGAATAGATCCGTCAAATATTTGTACAGTCTTTGTTTTACTACTACGCCCATAACTGTCAGATGGGGGTAAACACATTTTCTTTTTTTTTCCATAATGCATATAACACCCGAAACGAAGCTTCAGAGATCCTATAAAGTGTATATATATATATATATATATATATATATATCAATTGATTACGGTATGTCTGTCCGTCGGTGTGGTGTTTATTATAGGCATTCTTCTGGTCGCAATAATGAAGATATCGACTTCAAATTTGGCAGAAATTTTGGAAATCTCTTCACGTAGGCTGGTATTGAAAATTGGCGAAATTGGTGAAAGCAGGAAAACGCAGTGTAACATAAACTGAACGCAACTTCGCTTTTTTTTACATAAATATTTTGGGATTTTATATTGATCGTTACTCGGAAACTAATTAAGTTAGAAGGGCTGAAATTTCCTATATTTACTTTTACGAAATACTCTACTCTTTAGATGGGCAAATGGGGCCAATTGGCCATGCCCACACAAGGTTACGATTAACTAAATTTGATATTTTTCATTGTTTTGATTTTGTCGTTCGTATTAACCCCTTCCTAACGCAATGGATATAAACGAGAAAAGATCTTAAATATATTTAGACATAGGATTTAATTCTCTTTCGTTTTTAATAAATTTTAACTTTATTTTTGTTTTCCTTCTTGTTTATTTATATTTTTTATTTTTTTTTTTATTTTTTTTTTTTTTTGCTTTTTAACAGAATTTATGCAACCGCAACATATCTGGCCTTATTTGCAACAGAATTTCATACACCATCCGCATTTTCCGCATCCGGCATTTCTAACACACCAAACCGCTAATGGTAATAGTTGTCAACCGCAAACCGCATCGTCATCATCACCTGGCAGCACGATTAGTGATAGCGACAATCATTCTACCTGCACCACAAACAGTATCAGTACGAATACCAGTTCGAGTAACAATAACAATAATATTGTCAATAGCAATAATAGCAACAATAGCAGTGGTAATGGTGCCGAGACTATTACCGCAAGTCTTAACGGCAATGATGAGGATAACAATCGTCGACTTTTATTGTCAACGGGTCAAGATAAACCAACAGCGCCTTTGCATCATCATCATCATCATCATCATCATTCTCAACATCATTATCCTATGCCTCATGTGCAACAAACATCGGTAGCAACGGCACATTCTCAAGCTGGTATCATAGCGAAACCCCTACCCAGTCGCCCGACACCATTCCTGCCTCACAGTCTACAACACCCTCACTTGCATTCGCTTCTAGCTCACTGTAGAAATCCTTATATGAGCGGTAAGTGCAAATTTTATTTTTGTCTGTCTGTATTTCATCCTGCCTATCTATTGTTGTATCTATCTCTCTTTGCCATCAACAACAAATAATAGTTAAATGTGTACCCGTCAGCATTTATGTAAGAATTCTATTAATTGTTGTTATTGTTGTATTGTTGTATAGGCATAAATGCATACATAAAACAATGAATATATCTATGTTCATATATAAATGCAATCATATGCAACAATTAAATGCAACTGTAATTATAAATTTAATTACGTGCGTTTGTATGTAGGCAAGCGCTCCACCTCAATTATGTTTTTCATTCAGCCGGCAACTAACAAGTGTTTTATGTTCTCATTCCTTCACCTATGCACTCATTATGTGCATTCTGTTGCAGTTGGTGCTCAAGTATTTCCCCTGCCTCCCGGTCAAGGTTTCCCTTGGGCTCATTCAACACGTGGTAAGCCTCGTAGGGGTATGATGCGTCGTGCTGTGTTTTCGGGTAAGTGTTAAATGTTCTAATTTATGTTGTGGCTTTTCTATGTGAAAACAACGACATATATATATATATATATATATATATCGTACTACGTACTATTTACACACGTATTACAGTACTGTATCAATGCGTATATTATGCATGTGTATATATGTACGTTATTATTAAGTGCTTATCGATGGTATGTATAATAATGATTTATGCATTTATTCTCACTTTTCACTCTCCCTCTCAATATTCAATAGATTCGCAACGTAAAGGTTTAGAAAAACGTTTTCAACAACAGAAATATATAAGTAAACCGGATCGCAAGAAATTAGCTGAACGCTTGGGTCTTAAAGACTCCCAGGTAATTTATATAAATGAAAACTTGAAATAAATCTTGATTTCAGTGAAAATGCCTATCGCATAAGATGAACTGAGTGAAAATTTAATCAATTTTTGATTAACTATCGGATAACGCTCTTTAAGGCGACATCTTGGAAAACGAAGTAAATTATTCAGATCGAATAATAAACATATTTTAATGAGAAATACTAGTAACTAGAAGAATATGGGTTGCACTATGGCCATTGAGTAGTGTTCATCTAACTTATCTGTTTTTGAAATGAGTTCGACTTCAGCTAATGAAATCGAAAAGAAATCTTTTGTGTGTATGCTCGACTTTGTTGAACTAACTACGAGATAAGATAAGACGCGATTCCATTATCGAATCTGTAGAGAAAAAATTTCAAGGCATAAACGCTTGCTCAACGATGCCCCTCAAGAATGTATTTCAAATTCGTTGCGGAGAAAGCATATGCTAAGCTTCTAAGTCATATGTGTTCGTATGAAAAATTTCGCAATGTTATGGACATAGGCTTAGCGGTGATTCACTTTTCGCCCCTCATATATAAAGAATGTTATCAATTTTCTTTTTGCTTTTTAAAAACACTTTCTGTAACGGATCTGTAACGGTTCGATTCTGAAACACTTTAGCTCTGATGTCGTCGTCTTTTGTTGGAATCTTGAAAATATTGGAAATTTGAATATATTTTCATATTTGAGAATTATTATTGATCGCAGAATGACTTTATGTCACACACACATTCAAATTGATGGGCAATTTACATCGTTCTATCCGACTAGTGATACACTACTAGTCGCCTATGCATTTCTTCACTTCATTTTAAGCGCTTGAGACCTATATGTATGTATGTATGTATGTGTTTTCTTTGTACTTTGTAGAGTAGCGTGCATTAAATTTATCAAAAATTCACATTGGCGGTACTATTGGTCGTATCAAAAAGGTCACACTTGCTCTCTGACTCAATGATTTTGTTTTTTTAATAAAATTTATATCGACGTTGAAGGCTAACTAACTATTCCTTCAGAATGAGAAAATCGACAGAAAGTCGAAAATTTCGATAACGAGAAAGCGGTTAGAACGCTAGAATATACCTCTTTGTGCGATCAGTGCGAATAGCAAAACCGGACTATTTTATCTTTGCTTAAATCGAAACTTTTTTAAGAAGAATGAATTTTGTCTCAAATTTTTTCGCCTCACACTTATTTCAAGTCAAGCTCGAGTATCGACCAAAAGAACATAATGGTCTCCAAATTGTAGAGCTATTACCTTATTGCTTGAAGTTTGACCTTATTATGTATTTTCCTAATGAAGTTTCCCTCGCGATTTTGAATATAACTAAGATACGACGAAACGTATTTCAAAAATGAACAAAAATTGATTTCTAACTAAGATGGAGTACGTAAATGCAATGTTAAAACTAAACGTAAAAATATTAATTGACTTAATTCTCGAAGCTCATATTGTACTATCCGCCTTTAAATCAGATTATCTGCATAGTTGATAGCTAATCTTTTACTTCAACCCCTTACTTTGAAATTGTTTATGGTGTAGTCCGCTTTTCTTTGATTAAGAGTTTTTCGAGCCACATTTGGTAATAACTGGTTGCAAAAATGGATTGATTTCGTCACGTTCCCGAAAAGGTTAAGCCAATAGAAATCCGATCAATCAAATATTTCATCGACATCGAATTCATGCCTCATCCAAACGTCAAGTTTACTCAAATATTTAATTGATATTTAGTTCGTTACCAATGTAATCGCTGTTTATGTGTTGATGTGTCGGCTTCAATTTTGCTCAAGTTTTCATTGACTCTTTTCAGTGACTCGATGACTGGAGCGGAACGCACCTTCAACAGTAGATTTCCCAAAACGTAGGGGAGCAAATCACGCCCTCGCTAAGGAGACTTTTTTTCTTTCTCGCATTCAAACTGTAAAGTACAGTGGATTTTTTGAAAAACTTCATCGCTTTTCACACTGCTATAATCTTTGACACGATGGACCAAAGCATAAAACTATCTGCATGAGAAGTCTTACTCTGCAAACACGCCACAGTATCCGAGAATGTGACTAGTATTGTCTGGTCTATGATAGCGAATACCGTCTAATAAAAAAAAAACCCTCGATTTTTATCCCCAAATCGATTGAGTGATATATGCAGACCAAGCAAAGGGGTATTCGTTCTGCTTTGCAAGCAAAAATCCCCACATAATTTAGGATGTGGTATGTGGTTGCTTGCGATGCGCTAAATATTAATTTTTGCGAGTGTATGTAACATCCCAAAACGACCTAAGATAAGCCAAGCTTTTATGAAACGGATCACATCAAAATCATTTTTCGAATTGATTTAAGTTTATCTGACTATCTGTCTGATGCCGTTCCATGTACACTTCTCTTCATCCTACAGATTGAACTTTTTGAAATGTTCGGACAAAATTTGGCACATTGACATCTCGAGATATTAATCGAAATTCAAGACTTGCGCTCTATACTGTGCACAATTACTTCAAAGTTACTCTTCAGTTTCTTAACATATTCAAGCGTAGCTTTTCTTAGTCTTCATATTGTCAGTCACATATTTATGATGATATGATGTAAGCAGTAAGTACGGTATATTAAGTTGGTAATAATACTTGGATAACATCATACTCTTATATATGTATATTATTTTCTCTTCTCCGATTTTACAATTCGAGTAAGATATTTACAAAAAGGCCTATGAAAAAAATATCAAAAAGTTTATACTCATCGGTGAAAGTTTTCAAGCACTTTGAATTTTTCAAATAATCAGAGAGCAATAATACAAACAAAATACTGTGGGCATGGCAAAATTTGTAAGCTTCCAAAAATTGATTTTTACAAATATTGTTCCATAACAGTGTTACGGTTCCAAGCATTCAGAGGATGTCCTCTATTCGTGTAACCTGGTGATCGCCAGAAAGCAGACAAAGTGAAGCAAGGGAAAGATATAAGGAGTTGGCCACAGCCTATTGGATCTGTGCACCCAATCCACAAGTGTTATGCTTTTACCGACTGAACATTCACTATAGCTACGATCCGAGTAAAATCTACCGCCAACACAGACTTTTTAGTCGCGATTCTTACATAATCGGCTACTCTTGCGGTCACATGAATGTTTAAACGCATGCTCTATGAAAACATCATTCTTGAAAAAGGCGCACAGCACAAGTCCAATAATGATTATTCGAATTTATATTAGTTAACTTGTACTTATGATACCGCACTTGACAAATTTTTGTAACAATTTTTCAAGCATAGCATAGCAACTTATGCAGGAAATTATTGTTTGCCTTTATTTCTTCCTTTTTTTTTTTCTTTTGGTGCCTTCTTAGCTGCGTTCACTTGGACCTCAAAATTCCTATATAAAACAAAGAACTACAATAACTCTTAAAATATTTTTTCCTATCTAGCGAAACTCCTAACATTGTTCCCAATGTGAAACTTAAAAAAGAAAGCGTCAATCAAATCATTGGAAGTTAAGCGTCCTTCAGCGCTGCAAATAAAAAATTTTACTACAAACTTACGTTCAGTTGTCTTTTTGTCTGCTCATCTATCTGTCCTTGAATAGGTTTTATTTAATCATTTGCCAGACTATGGTGCATTCATCTAACTTTAAACTCATTCGATCGTTATTTGAAAAGGAATTTATATATATATATCCGGTTGTTGTGGATTTTCCGAGCACCAACTCAAACTTTATTCATTCTTATCTTTAACGGCATCAAAGTAAGATTACGTATGTAGAGCGGGTGTTGTGCTGCTCACCCTTACAACAGCTACAACAATGTATTATATGCTCTCGGTAATTCATTAAATTTAATTAAATGCAAATCGTATAACAAAGTTAGCTTACATTTAAATGATGAGTATAAAATAAAAATCAATAACAAACAGAAAAAAAATTTTTTTTTTTTTGTTTTTTTTTTGTTTTACTTACCAACGGAGTGAACACATTCTTTGAGAAAAGAAGAAACTCGATTAAAAAGTTTGACAATTCACACAATAACTTAATGTCATTGTATTTGTGCGTGTGCACAAAATAAAAGAACTTTGAAAAAAAAATAATCATAAAATTTTTCACTTAACAAAGAAATTGCAAAACTTTTCTACTACTACTTATAGTACACATCATGACAGAATATCATTAGCAACAGATATAATTTTTTTTTTTTTTTAAATAATTTCAAGAGAAAAGAAAAAATTTATTCAACATCATTAACAGTTTACCTTATAGAATTGACAGAAATTGTTGAATACAAAAAAAAAAAAAAAAACAAAAAAAAAATAATAATAAAAGAAAAGTCATGTAAAATAATTAAAGCGATGCGTAACAAATTTATGAAATGTCAAAATGTAATCGATCACAACTCAATCATGGACCGGCGTCTAAAATGACTATCATGATCAGTAGGTGAGATATGAGAAACGCATGTAATGCAACCGTTTCGAGCATGAATTATATAACTAACAATATATATATATATGTATCCTTATATATATAATTATGAATGTTTATTATCACGAATTATATACAGCAGCATGTGATATGTGTCGTTGCATCATACGATAGACACGGTTAATTAGTACATCGTACTTGCTTAACATGTATGCGTGTAGCTACGTAACCGCCAGTGTGCCGTACGAAATTATAATTGTGTGGAAAATGTGTAGCTAATTAGTTTTTGACAATAATCGATCACTTGGTTTTTAATTCGGCCCCTTGATCTTTATATATTGTCCTTCCATCGTCACTCACTGTCTAATAGACTAATGATGTTATAATGTAGTGTAAAAATGTGAGAAAAAAAAAAAAAAAGCAAGCAAAACCCGTATACACTTACATATGCTATGCTGTGCAAAGTTTATTTTTAAAATATTTTTTAATTTGCTAAAAAAAAAAAAACAAAAAAAAAAACTGAGATGCTTTCATTAATGTGCCTCATAGTTGGGACTTTACATGTAATGTTCGAATAAATATACACA